AGGGCCCAGGTTGCGGTTTCTACCGGGCGGCGCGCGCGGCATTTACGTGGGAAAGCGGGAAAGGTCCGCGGAGTTGTGGGACATGCCCTTTGGCGGACGCGGTCCGCCGAATGGGTGCAGAAGTTGGGTGCGCCGCGGGCGGTAGGTTTAGGTTTAGATTTAGGTTAAGGTTTCTGGTTAGGTTTAGAATCCGGTGCCTCTTGTTGAAACCAACGAAGAATTACTAATCGCGAAGAATGACGATGGGGGCGACGATTGGTACTTCGATGACGGCATGTGCAACGACGAGCACGATGAAGTAGATGATTGCGACAGCAGCATTTCGGCGTCTCACGATGCTGCGCGGGTTGATCTCACCCAGGCGGAACGACCGCCAGGATTGCGGCCGCGCCATGATCGCAGCCGCAGCTCTGGTGGACCCGCAACCCAGGAGCCGTGCCGACCGTCGCCGTGCCGACCACTGGGCTGCCGGCGTGGCCGCTGTCAAAAGATCGGCCCGGTATGTGGCCGCCCTCGAGGCACGGGCCCCGCGTCCCACGACGCCAGGTCCATTCGACGGCTCGTTGAGCAAGCGAAAGCGGTAATGAGGCGTCCAGCTGTGGAGGACATTCTGGCGCGGGTAGAGTCGTCATGTTTGTCCCCCCCGTCGCACCCGCTCAAATTCTGTCGTCTCGAGGGAAGTGCACAGCGCTGCCACTGTCACTTTGCGTCGTTACTGGACATTCTGGCGCGGGTAGGGTCGCAGTATCTGTGCCCCCCTTACCCCCCAGTCTCCCCCAGCTTCAACTTTCTCGTTTCGTGCAAAATTCGCAGTTGTACCGCGACGTGTTTGAACATTCCAGCGCAGGTAGAGTCGCATTATCTTTCCCCCTGGTCGCCTCCAGCTTCACCTCTCCCGTTGCAAGCGAAATTTGCAGCGCTACCTCTGTCATGCCTCAGCAGGCGCTTGCTTTCTTTGCGCCTTTGGCGCTCGCGTTGAGCGCTTGTCAAGCAGTTGCCTCTTGCGCGTGCGGACGCTTCTGATCAACGTCTCTTCGACTTCGCTATGATTTCTGGGCGCGCGCTATTTCCGCCGCGCGCGGCTCCCCCCCTTTTCCTTCCGCGCTCCCCCCTGTCTCTGCTACGATTCATAAGGCCGCGCTGCGTTGCCCGGCTGCCTCCCGCCGCGGCTTCCTGTCGCGCCGTTGCATGTCAAAAAGGCGCGCGGCGCTGCCATTGTTGTACCTTTTCGTGTTGCGATGTATGATGGGCCTGTTTTCCACCACCACAACCATGAGTTGGAGAGGGGAAGGAGGGGGAAGATGATGAGGACGAGGATAGACGAGAAGGAGGAGGAGGAGGCGGTGGAGGAAAGGAGGAGGAGGACGAAGAGGACGAGGACCCCCTTTCCCACACCTGCTTATGGTGGTGGCGGTGAAGAACACATCCACCACTTTATCTGTCGAATATGTATGTAATGCTGTATCATAACTTATATGTGTACGCACATAACCACAGCACTAATTAGTATACCCTTATATACACATATAGATGTATTCACATGTGTTTCCTGAAACGATTTGGGAGGGGGGAAGAGTGGGCCAGACCGCTCAACCTAGATTTTGGAGAGTTGGGCGCGCGGGGGGGAGGGGGAGGGGCAGGAGGAGCAGCAGGGGGAAGGAGGAGGAAGAGGAATTATGAGACAGAAGAAGGAGGACGGGGATGATGATGGTGGTTACTGTATGCTGGTTACGACCATGTTGCTGTTTTGTTGTTGATGATGGTTTTATGGTGGCGCGAGGCCGGGAACGTTGGTCGTCCATCTAGGGCACAAGGAATTCCAAGTGTTCAGTGTTACCGCAATCGTTTGGGCCACCTCTCGTGTCTCACGAAGTGACAGGCGTGCGAAGAGCCCGGGCCGCACGACCGCTCCTGGCGCCCGACAAAAAGCAGCTGCGCGCGGCTGGTTCGTGGAGCGACCCCCCGATGCTTCCCCCTCCCCGGCTCGTCCACCTCAGGAGGCGTCTGTGCGCCGCGCCCCGTGAGGCAGGCTCGCTCGCGTCCAGGGGGGAGGGGCGGCGGGGCGCACGGGGCCCGCCGCATCTGCAGCCTCCCGCGCGGTTGCCGTCGGTGGGCCGCGCGCCGCGCCCAGCTTGCGCCCAGGGGATGTGTGTGAACCCCGCTCAGATCACCATCATATCGTCATATACCGCCAACGTATTGGCTCAAGGTAGTTGGCCTACATAGTGCGCTGCTCTCCGCGCAGGGCCCAGGAAAAAGGAGTAGCTGACCTCTTCCTCCGTCGCCTTTGCCTACGGACACAGGTATAGGATGGACCCCTTCGGTCGTATCCCTATACAGTCGGGGCCCTGGGGAAGGAACCCTTTTGGTTCGGGAGGGGCTCCGCGTTCTTTAAGTGTTTCGCAGCTTGCCTTAGGTTTTCCTGAGGTCTTCGATGTGCAATCGAAGTTCCACTTATGGACAATAGGGGCCTCGTTCCTTATTTAGGGTTCGTTAGGTCAACGCCCCGACTGTACACACAGGGGAGAAGGGGGGCGGGGCGCACGGGGCCCGCCGTGTCTGCAGGCTCCCGCGTGGTGGCCGTCGGAGGGCCGGCGCTTCTGCTGGGACCCAGGGGTCCAGCCGGCAGTCTGCTGTTTCTGGTCGTCTTTGGCTCCCCCGTCGAGCGACGGCACTCGATGGGCTCAGTCGGATCAGCGCTCTCGCACCAGCCTTCGTCTTGGAGGTGGGTTTTCAAAGGGGAGCGCGAAGAGATCGCAGGATAAAAACCTGCGTGAGCATGAGCACAAACTTTCGGAGGTCCGCGCAGATCTCTCGGATCGGCGCTGGGCTTGGCCCGTGCGGCAATTCCGCCACCGTGCCAGCGCAGCATTTTAGGTGGCAACTACTCGAGAAGGTAAGGGGGCCTGCTGGGGGCCTCTTGGGCGGTCCTCAGCGCCTCTTGGGCCGTCTTGGAGCCTTGATGGCCCGTCTTGGAGCTCTCTTGGGGGCCTCTTGAACGGTCTCAGAGGTGTCGTGGGGGCCTCTTGGGCCGTCTTCGCGCGTCGGAAGCTCGACAAGGCGAGAACTCGGAAAGTCTTGGACCTCCCTTGGGTTTTTTTTGAACCGTCCCGGGGGTGTCTTGGGGGCCTCTTGGGCCGTCCCGGCTCGAAAAGGCGAGGATTCGGAAAGCAATGGAAAAACATTGAAAACATTTCGGGGCCTCTTGGAAAGGCTCTTGGGGCTCCCTTGTGACGCCTCGACGGCCTCGTTGGCCATCTTGAAGCCATCTTGGGCCGTCTTGAGGCCAAAGTGGCCCGTCTTGAAGCGACATTGGGCCGTCTCGGGGGAATCTGGGCTTCGGGAGCGCGAAGCTGTCGAGCTTTGCAAGGGGTTGTGACCTCGTGAAGACGGGATGGTGCACGCGGTTGGGTGCGTGGAGAGTGGGTTGGGGGTGGTCCTGAGAAAATTTGAGAAACCCGAAGGCAGATCGTGGCATTCTTCCACACTTCAACGTTCAAAAGGCTTGTATAGTTTAGCTGTCGTGCTCATTGTGTCGAGCGCCCGTGCAGTTGATGCATTATCGTGCGTCGAGCAGCATGTACGATCCGACTGTATCGGCGGTGGTTCTGGAGCGCTCCCCTCGGCGGCGAGTTCTTCAATCCCCCCAAACCAGGTTTTGAATTAAAAGACCAGATTTTGAATTCAACAAACCAGTTTTACGAATTCAAAAACCATCCTCCTCACTGCTGGCCCCATGCAGGATGGGGCTTCCAGGAGACCGACACCGTGCGCCTGATCGGGACGGCCCAGACCTGCGCAGAGAACGCGTGCCGAGGGGGGGTGCGAGGGCAGGCGCACCCGTGGAAGGGAGGACGGGGAGGCAGGGAGTGGAGACGAGAGGATTCATGGATATGGATGGACGGACGGACGGATGGATCGATGAAGCCAAAGAGCTCTCACGCTGTGGATGCGCAACTTTTTAATGCCCGGCTCTACTTCATGTCAAAGAGTGGCTTCTAGATTCGAGCCTCGGCGGCTGATGGATGGATGGATGGATGGATGGATGGATGGATGAATGGATGGATCATGGTGGTGGTGTTGTTGCTGTTGTGGATGATAATGGTGATAACGATAACAAAGATGATGATGCTGATGCACATGATGGTGGTGATGATGATGATGATGATGATGATGATGATGATGATGATGATGATGCGGATGATGATGCTGCTCATGATGATGCTGATGATGAGTGTGATGGTGATGATGCTGATGACGATGACGATGATCATGGTATTGATGATGCTGATGCTGATGGTGATGATGCTGATGCTGCTAATGATGATGATCATAACGAGGATGGTGGTGGTGGTGATGTCGACGTCGACGTTGTTGATGCTGATGCTGATGCTGATGATAATGATGATGGTGGTGGTAATGATGATGAAGAGGGGAAGATGAGGATGAGGAGGAGGATTAAGAGGATCTGGATTGGGGGAGGAGGAGGATGAGGATGATGAGGACGAGAAGGTCGAGGATGACGAGAAGCAGGAGGAGAAGGACGGATGATGATGAAGAGGAGGAGAAGAAGGAGGAGGAGGAGGAGGAGGAGGAGGAGGGGGCGGAGGCTGAGGTGGAGGCAGAGGAGCAAAGGAGGCGCAATATATGGAGAAGGAGGAAAGGCGGGAGGAGGAAAAGGAGGAGTCGGAGGCAGAGGAGGACATCGGGGAGCGGGAAGACGGGGCAGGATGGACCCGACGACGACGGCGAAGCTGACGACGACGACGACGATGACGCCGACGCCGACGCCGACGCCGACGCCGACGCCGACGCCGACGCCGACGCCGACGCCGACGCCGACGCCGACGCCGACGACGACGACGACGCTTACGCTGACGACGACGACGACGACGACGACGACGACGACGACGACGACGCCGCGGCGCTCGACGAGGCGCTCGGCGCCCGAGCCAGCGAAGAGGCGGTCTCGGCCCGAGGGCCGCCCGCCCTGCCTGGCGATGGCGCCGGCGCTGGCGACGCAGCGGTGGGCGGCGCGCGCCCCCGCCGCGGGCCGCCTCTTCGCCCAGCTGGCGCGCGTCGGGAGGGCCCACCCTGCCCCCGTCGACGTGGTTGTCCTCCTCGTCCTCCTGCTTGTCGTCGTCGTCCTCCTTCTCGTCCTTCTCGTCCTCCTCGTCCGCCGTCCTCTCCACCCTCGCCACCCGGTCCCTCCATCCTCCTCCTGCTCCTCCTCCTCCTCTTGTTGCTCATCATACTCGCCCTTCTCGTCCTCATCGTCCTTATCCTCGTCCTCATTCTCATCCTCCTCCTCCTCCTCATCATCACCATCATCAGCATCAGCATCAGCATCAGCATCATCATGAGCAGCAGCAGCAGCACCATTATCATCATCATCACCACCACCATCATCATCAGCATCATCATCATCACCATCATCATCCTTATCGTCATCACCATCATCATCAGCATCATGATCATCGTCATCATTACCATCAGCACCAACAGCATCGGCAGCACCATTATCAGCATCAACATCACCATCATCATCGCCGTCATCATCATCGTCATCATCATCAGCAGCATCATCAGCATAGTCATCATCATCACCACCACCACCACCATCATCATCATCATCATCATGTCGTCGTCGCCGTCATCACCACAATCACCACCACCACAATCATCAGTTACATCCCTGTCCTCCTCCTCCCCTCCTCGTTCGTCTCCTCGTCCTGCCCCTCTTCCCTTTATTCCTTCTCCCGCACCTCCTCCTGCTCCTTCTTGTCGCCCTTCTCCTCCTCATTTCTCCCTCCCCTTCTCCTCCTTCTCCTTCTCCTTCTCTTATCCTTCTCTTCTCCCCCTTCTTCTTCGTTCTCTCCTCCCTCTCCTACTCCCTCTCCTCATCCCCTCCTCTCTTCATGATTCTGGTCCACGTTCTCCTCCATGTTCTCCATTGTTCCTCCTTGTCCCTCCTCTTTTCGCCTCCTTCCGCTTCGCACTCCTCCTCCTCGTTTTCTTCCCCTTCCTCTTCCTCATCCTCTCCCTCCTCCTCCAGCCCACCTCTGGGTTCATTCCTTGTAGGTTGGAGGGTTGGAGGAATCTGAGTTCAAGAAAGTGCCAGGCCACGCCACTTTGCATGATGTGCGGGAATGTGAGGTCAGCGATTTCGAGCGGCTGGAGAATCACAAGTCTGATGCGCTAGCCAAGGAAGGAGCCAGCGCAGTCCGTCCTCTCGCTCACGTCATCTTGTTGCTGAGAGCGCCCCTTCCTGAGAGAGTTTTTAGGCCAAGCGCAGGCGCACTATGGCGACCTGGATCTTCACGACAACCTAGGGGCCAAATCGCTGACGACAGTCTCGCTTGAAGATCCCTCGGTTGCCCAGCTGGTGTTCCCAGAAGGCATGTTGGCTTCTGGGCCACAAGCAGCCCCTGAGGCCCAGGCGGAGCCCGAGGCCAAGGCCGTGGGCTCCGCCATCCCTCAACCCGCGCCTCTTGAAGCCACGGTGCCGCGGCTACCTGGTGGTCACACGCTTTGGGAGCTTCCTGCAGTCGACAGCGCCTCGCGTTTGCTGTTCTGCACTGCCTGTGGCGATTGCGCCACCATTTACATGAGAGCCCAGGGTCTTCTGTCCTGGAAAGGAAGCGTTTTTGAAAGGAGCTGGCAAGAATGCACCGGACGCGTTTGCCAGACTGGTTCATCCGAACAGGGCCTTCAATTTGGGGCCGCACCGCAAACCTGGTGTGGAGGCGCGTTCGCTTTGCGGGAGCCATTTCGGAGGGGCTTTTGGAGAGCAGGACCCAGCGGAGCCCAGAGGGGCGTTGTTGCCCCAAGGTTTTTAACCGAGCCTGCATGGCAGACGTTTGCCAGTGCTTTGGTTTGAACGAGGAATGTGCCCGCGCCTCTGGCGAGGCTGCCAAGGCCAAGGCCGTGGCCGACTTCCAAGATTATGTCTTTTGGTGGATGTCCTGTCGTGGGCAACCGAGGCGTTGACGGAACCCGCCTCGGGGATCGACAAATGTCCTTTCGATGGGCACCCCCTGGACTCTCCCGCTTCTTTCTCTCTCTCTTTCTCTTTCTAATTTCTGGGCGTCCGCTCCTCCTCCTCCTCCTCCTCCTCCTCCTCCTCACTGTTCTCCTAATCGATCCTCCCCCTCCTCCTCCCTCATCTCATCCCTCTCGTCCTCTCCCTTTCTGTCTCCTCCTAACTCTTCACTCTTCACTCCTCCTTCTCCTCCTCCTCCTCCTCCTCCTCCTCCTACTTCTCACTCCTCACTCCCTCTCCCTTCCCCCCTCCTTTTCCCCCTCCCTCCCGTCCTTCCTCTTCTCACTCCTCTTCTCTCTCCTCCCTCCTCTCCCTCCCTCATCCAGCCTCCTTCCCCTCGTCGCCCCCCCCACCGGCGGCTTCTGGAGGCCCCTGGAGGCCCACGCAGGGCCGCACTTGGCACCGAGGACTCGGCCCCCAGGACCAGATCTTCGCCCTCCTCCTCGCCCTCCTGCCTCGCAGGAGGGCTCGCTCCGTCCGCTCGCCCCCCAGCCCCAGGCGGAGGCGGCCACATGGCCTCCTGGCCCGAGGCGCCTCCGTGAGGCCCCTCGCGGCGAGCAAACAGAGGACACCTCAACGCACGACAGTGAGACACACAGAGAGAACTCTGGGGCCCTCGCCGCGAGGCCCGGAAGCCTCACGGGCCTCCCTGCAAGGCCAGGGGGGCCACGGGCCGGGGCCCCACCTCTTGCGGCGCCCAGCCTCCCCAGGGCGGCGCCCGCCGCCGCGCGGCCGCCAGGGCCGCGGCCAGCATCGACGTGCTGGACCTCAGCTTGCCCGGGGCCGCCGACAGGCTCTCGATCGAGAACCGACTAGACGTAAGAGTGACCCTTCGCCGGAGTGGCCTTTGGTGCGGGCCCAGTGGGGCCCCCCAGTCGCCGAACGCGATGCGACAGTAGCGTCTTGCGCGCCTGTGTTTGGTCCCCCCGCGGCCCCCGAGAAGCCGCGCACCAAAGATCACTCTCACCTGGGGTCACTCCTGCGTGTAGCCGAGAGAACACAAAGGGCCCTAACCCCAATAATGCGATGGAGACGTGGCCTCGCTAAGGTCCCCGCCTCTGCACAGGAATAAGACGGGGCGGTTTGGTTCGATGCGTCTGCAGAAGAGACCCCCTGATCCTCAATGTTTTTGGTCCTCCTAACTTAGGTCCACTCCCAAAGGGTTTTGGGTCCTTTTCTGGGTGCTCAGGCTCGACGCCTCGTTCAGGGCGACGGGATTCGCGGTCTCCGCGCCGCCTCCGCCGCAGCCGCCGCCGCCGCCGCCGTCTTCGCCGTCGCCGTTGTCGTCGTCGCCGGCGTCGTCGTCGTCTGATTCGCCGTCCATGGTTCTGTCATGTTCAGTGGTAGTCTTCTCATTTTTGTTGGCATCCTGGAGGATCCGCGCCGCCATTGCCAGATCTGCTTCGAAGCATGGCCAGAACGCGCTCCATATTCCAGGGATCGACGTCGCCGTCGCTGTCGCCCTCGCCCTCGTCGTTCTCGCTCTTGTCCTTCTCCGTAGCCGCCGAGCTTACGTAAGCTTCATGTATGTAGCTCAAGGGTTGTACGTCTCGCCCAGAACCGTCTTCATGGCCTTCTCTCCGCTGATGTATTTACCGGCTTTGCTGGTATATCGCGCTACGCCGTTATTGCGTTGCGCGGAGCCTGGGACAAGCCTGCCCTGCCGCGTTGGAACGTCGATCAGAATAGCATCACCATTGCTGGCTTGAGCTCGGCGGCTCACTTCACCGCCCACTGAAGACGATCGCCGGTGCGGGAGTCTTTGTTGATTGTCCATGACTGTGCAACGTGCCGTAAGATGCCAGATATGCCCCTGATGTCTGAAAGTGAGCACCCCGGGAGTCCGTTTTGCGACTGCTGTGCGTCCGACGGTGTTGCGCCGCTGCTGGCCGCATTGTCTATGTGCAACAGTTGCGCATTAAGAAGACATACATGTGTGATGACGTCACGCAGCGCCATAAAGGTTTTGCTTCGAAGGAAACCCGTGAAGCCTTCAAATGCTTCGGTGAATCTGTGCTCGCGAACTTCAAAACACTTGGGGGTCCATGGATGATCGCAGGCCAGCGGCATCTACCCTTGCAGAGATCCTCTATGATGGTGGATTGGCGTGTGGTTTTCGGGCTCGCCGTGTGCCGTCGAGAACTGTGGGTACGATGGGCTAGGGACGATGTTCCAGCGTTTGTATGGCTCGATCCAACCTTCAGCGGACGCTCTGGTCTATCACTCCGTGCGGCTCTTCGACCAGGCAATGTTTAGCGACTTCTGGACGACAGTTCTTGACAAGTATGGCATGGTCTACGTCACTGCGAGCTGTGCCGAATCTGCTCAGTGTAGTTCGCACGCCTCTCCTCACGCTGGCCGCGCACCACGGGTCTTTGAGTACGAACTCGTCCAAGGATTGGAAAGTCACAGTCTCAGCATCAATCGTTAGGCAAGGGCAAACGAAATGGTTGCGTTCTGGCCGAAGAGTGGATCCCAAGCACATTGTTTCACACTGCGTGATACTGGTGGGGAATATACGTAGGAGGGGGCGGGGATGATGTTAACGCCAAGACTTGCATACAGATGATGCCGAGCCGCAACACGCTCGCTACCGTTACTGACCATACAATGGTTGATGTTGTGGGTAGCTCGCAGGCGTCCGCAGTTTCCTCGCCATTGCTGTTCTTTGTCTGGAAGGGGTTCATTTGGGAAACGGCTCATTACTATATTCTTGCTCCCCTTCATCGTGGTCATAACTCTTGCTTGCTGCTTCTCCTCGTTAGCTCCGTCCCCTGCTGCTGCTGCTTCCACTCTGCCCCTTCCCCTGGCGCTACTGCTTCAGCTGCTCTTCCGGCTGCTTCTAGATTACCTCCTCCTTTTTCTTGTGTGTCTGCTCGTGATGTCGCTTTAGCCCCAGCATCTCCCAGCACCCACAATTCAGTTCCAACTAATGCCAATGCGCAGCTCTTTCAACAACGCGTTTTGTTTCGCGGAGGGGGGGGGGGGGAGGAGCGGGTGAAGAGGAGGGGGGCAGCACGCGCTTTCGCAGCGCATGTTCCCAGGTATGTGCTTGGTTGATTCCCATCATCCTCAACAGCCTTGTACCTATGCAGCATCCATTAAGCCCCGCGCGGTACAACTTCTGTGAATTCAATTTCGATGTGTAGTCTAGTCACATTTGATGTATGGCTGATGTACGCTTGCCTCAGGCTTGACGCATCGTTTAATCAAGGGTCGCAGGCTCTGGGAGACATGTTTTATCCACCCAATGGATAACACGTGCTACCCTCACCCGCCCCCCCGCGTAACGGTAACGCCCCGCGGCCTTATCAGTGCCGCTGTGCACGCGGGCGTGCACTATAGTGTACGCAGGCATTGCGGTGTACACGGGCGTTGTGGCGCACACATCTGTCGTTGCAGCAGCAGCTATGGTGTACACAGGCGTAGCGGGTGTACGCAAGCATTGTGGTGTACACATCACAAGCCTTGTGGTGTACACAGGCTTCGTTATGTACACAATCGCTTTAGTGTGCAAAGTCGCTTTGATGTAAGCGTTCATTGTAGGCTATAATGTACCCGCGCATCTCTTCCTACTTCTGCCTCCTCCTCCCTCTTCATTTTCGTCGTCCTCGTCGTCGTCCTCCTTGCGCATGCAGGACGCGGGCATTGTCGTGTGCACAAGCATTATGGTGCACACAAGCCTTGTGGTGCACACAGGCGTTGTGTTTTACACCCGCTGTGGGTTCAAAATGTCCAGGCGTTCCTCGGGCCAGAAAATCCGATAATCACAATCAGATCACATACTGAATATGATACATTCGGGCCCTCAGCGATTTCCCGGACGTTGGCTCCGTCGGGGCCGTAGAGGTGCACGACAGGTTTCTGGTAAACGCAGGCACTGTGGTGCACACGGAGGAGTGCTGAAACAGCAGCTGTGGTGTCAATGATCACAGGCGTTGCGGAGCAGACGGCTGCTGTGGTGTACACAGGAATTGCGGTGTACATAGGCGCCTCGAGATCGCAGCTCTTCCGTCTATCTCCCAGGTTAAGCCGGAAGCCGGGATTCTCGGACAGGGCGCTTTCGACGTCGTCGACCTCAAGCTCTCCGCTGGTTTCGACGGGTACAATCGCGCGCCCGCTTGGAGCACGAGGCGTAGCGTGGTGCCCGTAGGGTCAGCGTGCGTGCGCAGGCACTGGTGAACAGGGGCTGCTGAAACAGCAGCTGTGGTGCACGCAGGCGCCGTGGTGTGTACAAACAGTGTGATGTACAAAGGCGCTGTGTTGCGCACGCTTGTTCTGGTGCATAAAGTCGCCGTGGTGCACACACAGATACCGTTTCTGCAGCAGTCCTGGTGCACAAATGCATCGTAGTGTACAGAGCCCGTGTGGTGTGCACAGGCCCTGTGGGCTTGGACGGCGACGACGACGACGACGACGACGACGACGACGACGACGACGACGACGACGACGACGACGACGACGACGACGACGGCGCGCCTCGGGGGGTGCGCGTCGCGGCCCCCCGTTACCGTTGCCCCCCTCCCCTGGCCCCCCCGCCACCCCCCCAGGGTAATAGGTGTTATCCCCCCTGAATAAAAAAATGGTCTCCGGCCCTCATGCCAGAAATTCACGCTTGCTGCGCAGATATCTTGCTGTCATTTTCAAGCCGGCAGAGGACCAGTTCACGACTGGCCCCGACGTTCTCACAAGTCGCTGCAAGGCAGAGAGGTTGAGGGCTCATGCGTGTACCGGGGCACAGAAGAACTTCGCGAAATAGATGAAGGCTGTGCGTCGGCAGCCTCCTGGCCTCTTGGCTTCTTGGCCTGCTGGCCTGCGAATCAAGATTTGGCGGTTCGACCGTTCCGCTTCGCGTTCGCTTGTGTTAGGGGTCTGAGGCGTCGTCTGGGCGCTGAGCATGTTTCGCGATTATTGCCTACCGTGGGCGCTGCGGACTGGTTTGGCATTCTGTTCCAGGTCCCAGGCCGCGGTATCTTCTTCTCGGGTTGCTGTTGGGTGCGGCCGAGGCGCTCTGCAGGCGCTGGTCCCATTCAACTGCAGTGTGTTCAACTCGTTGCACCGAATCCTTTGACTGTACGAGCCTTTCGCGAGGCTGGCTCGTGTTGGTCTGATGTGCCATTCCAGCGGCAGGATTAGTGGAACGTCTGAGGAGAAGTCACCTAATTGCCGATGCGGTGTGTTACAGCGTTCTTGACGCACGCTGGTTCTACTTTGACCGCCTCCTCCCCTTCCCCGTCATTGTCATGCTCCTCCCACTCATCTTCGCCCTCATCGTCGTCGTTGTCCTCCTCGAAGCTCGACGGTGACCGCTGGTCTGTCGCTGTCCTCTTTCCCCTTCTCCCTCACTCCTCTTCTCCTGGTTGCTTCAACTTCTTCCTGCCTCATCGTCGTCCTTGTGCTCGCCATCGTCGTCGTTTTCCCCCGCCTCGTCCTCGTTGTCCTCCCCATCCGCCTGCTCCTACCTCTCCTTCTGCCGCTCCTCTCCCTCTGGCTCCTTGCCCTCCTCCCTCCTGTCCTCATCCTCCCCTTTCCCCCCCCCCCCCCCCCTTCCTCCCGCCGTTCCTTCCTATTCTCCGCAGCGTCCTCCCCGATCTTCTCGTGCTCGTCCTCTTCCACCGCATCCGCCGCCTCTTCCGCCTCCTGCTGCTGCTGCTGCTGACCCCTTCGTTTCCTCGTCCTCTCGTTGCGCATCTTCAGTCGGGCGCCCGGGCAGGGACTGCTTCTGGGGTCTCTCGCCCGCCCGCCGGCCCTGGCCGGGTTCCCCCCGAGCACCGCGCGCGGGCATACAGGTGCAAATCGTCAATAAGTAAACAAGTCGCAGTGTAAATAAACATCCTACCCCCGCCTAGTGTGAAGGCCTGACGGCCGGTGCCGCCGACCCTGAAAGACATCGACGACGACCAGGAGGGAGAGGAGGAGGAGGAGAAGGAGGAGGAGGAGGAGGCGGAGATAAGGAGGAGGAGGAGGAGGAGGAGGAGGAGGAGGAGGAGGAGGAGGAGATACGGAGAGAAGGAGGAGGAGGAAGAGGAGGAGGAAAAGGACTCCCCCCTGGGCCACCCCCCCCTTGGGGAGGAAGGCTGGAGGAGGACAGGCGTGGGAAAGGGGAGAAGAGGGGGATGAGGAACCCCAGGGACGGATGCGTATCTGACTCCCCTCCCCCCCTGGGACTCCTCCCCACCTGGGGAGGGCCCGAGGAGGACCGGCACGCCAGAGAAGGACCGGCGTGGGAGAGGAGGACCCCGGGAGGCGATGCGAATCTGACCCCCCCCCCGCCCCTCCCCCGGGGACCACCCCCCCCGACAGGGAAGGGAAAAAGGGAAGGGGCTTCCTTTTGACGTAATGAGGACGTGGATTGAATTCCCTCAAGCTGCGAACCCGTTCCCCCAACGAGGAAGGTTGAGGACGGGAAGGAGGGGACGAAAGAAGGCTCCCCGTCGACGGGACTGGACAGACACCCCACACACGCCGACAGGGTCGGCGGATTTAGTTCCCAGACGCTCCCACCCACCCCCGTCCTCCTAGAGGTCGTCACAGGCCACGGCGTGGACTACGGTGCCCTGCGCCAGCTCCGGCTCAAGGCGCTGGAGTTCTTCCGAAGCCCGCTCGAGCACAAACAGCTCTTCGACAAGGCTGGCGGCGAGCACAAAGGGGCCAGGGCTCGGGGCATGCATTCGCGTCTCCTCGAAGGGGGCAGGGCAGTGAATTTCTGGAGAGCCCGTGGAGGCATTCGTGCGGTGTCCCGGGTTCTCCAGCAGCCTCGTGGGAGGCAGAGATTCGGATACCGCCCCATACCGCCACGGCTGGATTCTGCTGAAAGTTTTGGTCAGAACGCGACTGACGGGAGATTTGGGGAGTAGCGGTGTCCTTGCCTCTTTGTCAGCAGGAGGGGAACATGTACAAAAACATCATGAAGCGTTCAGTCTCACAAAAATGTAGGCAGTGGGACATGTGCGACGTGGAGGGGAAGACAAACACCCAGGAAGCATGGAACGGTATTGCGAATCGTGGGGTTCGTGCCTATTTCTTGGTGCCCCCCTGGGCCCGTTTGTTGTCTTCCCCCAGAAGCCGCGCCCCGTCGCCCCGTCGATAGCCGCAGGAGGAGGAGAAGGAGGAGGAGGACGAGGAGGACGATGGAGAGGAGGGGGAGAAGAGATAGGAGGAAGAGGAGGAGGAGGACGAGGAGGACGAGGAGGAAGAGGAGGAGGAGGAGGAGGAGGAGGAGA